GAGAGAATGAGAGACAGAGAGCATGAGAGGGAGGAGGGTCAGAGGGAGAAGCAGACTCCCTGCCGAGCAGGGAGCCCGATGCGGGACTCAGTCCCGGGACTCCAGGATCATGACCTGAGCCGAAGGCAGTCGCTTAACCAACTGAGCCACCCAGGCGCCCTAAACAACAGTTTCTAAGGATAAGTATGCTCCAAACATTGCAGGGGATGTAGTTATCCTAAAGAAATACTTGTTGCTTATCTGAAATTGAAATTTAACTGGGCATCCTGCATTTTTATTCGTCAGATCTGGCACCCCTGCCGGCCGCTGGTCGGGTGGGGACAGGGCTTGTGGGAGACGTCAGAGGCGCCGTACCTGGGGCGACCTCTGTATGTGGATGTTTGGATGTGACTGCAGCTGGGAGCTGTGTGCGGGGCTCGAACCGGTGTCCTCGTCCCAACTTCCTAGCTAGTAGATGAGTTTGTGCATGTATTTTCCCTTGATTTAGCCTAATCTGCACAGAACGTGACTAAGGAACATTGCAACTTTACTCCCCCAGTTGTTTGCTTTGCTTTGGGGTGTGTGTGTGTGTGTGTGTTTCTTTCTTCCTAATTTGTGCTTCTTTTGCGAGTTGTTCTCAGGGTAGATTTTTAAGAGGATTTTCTACTATTCTTTAGAATAATCTATTTGCCTCAAAGATACTGGGGGACCGGTTAGTGTCTTAGAATATAGTAAGTAGAGATTGTATACTGAGCCTTATATTCCAGGTGTTGAGGTGTGTGTGTGTGTGTTTTGGCAAGGAGAAACTGTCTCAAGAGTTTGATTCCGATGAATGTTAACTCGAGTTTAAGGGGCACAAGGAGAAGGAAGAGCTTCTAATAGATATATGGGAGAAAGGAAATCAGAGAAGGCTGCCTGGAAGAGGTGGCGTTTGAGCTGGATCTTGAAGGGTGATAGGCTGGATTTAGAAACGCAGAGCTAAGGCATAAAGGAGCTTTGAGAGCCGACAGAGCTAGGGCTGCCCTGTCCAGTACAGTAGCCACTAGCTGCATGTGTCCATTTCCATTTAAATTAACTAAAGTAAAATTAAAAATTCAGTTCCTCAGCCTTTTTTTTTTTTTTTAAAGATTTTATTTATTTATTCGACAGAGAGAGACACACCGAGAGAGGGAACACAAGCAGGGGGAGTGGGAGAGGGAGAAGCAGGCTTCCCGCCGAGCAGGGAGCCTGACACGGGGCTCGATCACAGGACCCTGTGATCAGGACCTGAGCCGAAGGCAGATGCTCAATGACTGAGCCATCCAGGCGCCCACTCTGTGTTCAGTTTAAATGACCCGTTTTTGTTTTTATTGGAACTCAGAGCAGATATAGAACATTGGTATCAGTGCTGAAAGTTCTGTTGGACAGCATTGGACTAGGACAAGGGTTACCAACTGCAGCCCCAGGAATGAAACTCCAGGCCACCACCTGTTTTTGTAAATAAAGTTTTATTGGAACACAGCCACATCCACTCATTCACATACTGTCTCCGCCTGCTTTGGAGCTACGATGTCAGAGTGGAGTAGTTTCTACCCAGACCGTCTGACCGTGAAGCCGAACGTATTTACTGTCTGAGCTGGGGAAGTGAAGGCACAGAGCCCCGAGATGATTGTGATATGTTCGGGAGAAATAAACCACAGCAAGATAGCTGGCGTTAATTGAGCACCTACTGTGTGCTGGGCACTGCTTGCATGCCTGTTACCCCACTCACTGCTTCCCATAGGTCATGTTACAAGGGGAGGACACTGAGCCTTGGAGGTGTGTGAGTGGTGGGCAGCCTCTTCAGCATGGTGCAGGGGAGTGAGCGAGGGGGGAGCCCTGAGGGCTGGGAGGGAGAAGTGCAGGGTCATGGGGAGCCAGGGAGGGTGCTTGAGCCCGGGAAGGACCACCTTCAGGAGATGGGCATGCAGGGTGTTTGTGCGGGGGAGATCAGGTAACAGGGAACAAGGAAGGCAGGTTGGGAAGGAGAGACCTTGAAGTAGGAGAATTGACAAAACAAATTCAGCTCTCCTTGCCCCATTTTGATGCGGGCACCTTTATCCTCCTAAAGCCAAGTCTTTTGAAGATCTCCAGTGTTGACTCACCAGGCACAGCTCCCCTTTCCCTTCTGCACCTGCTGCCTTACTCAATCCCGTGTAGTCCCAAGGTCTCCACTGCATGATAATTCGATGCAATGGTTCTCAGGCTGCCCACAGGTCCCACCAAAGGAGTTATGTTCTTTGCCTTCTGGAAGTGATGACTTAGGCACAGACACTGTAGAGAAAACCACTCATCGTCAGGGCTCGCTAATTTGCAGGGACCCAGGCAGAGTGAAAACGTGGGGCCCCTTGCTCAAAAATGATTAAGGATTTCAAGATGGATGGAAGAACATTGAGCCAAGGGTTGGGCCCTCCTGAGTGAGCCCCACGACTCAGGTTGCACACCCGCGAAGCTGGGCCTGCCGCTGATTTTTTTTTTTTTAAAGATTTTATTTATTTATTTGACAGAGAGAGACACAGCGAGAGAGGGAACTCAAGCAGGGGGAGTGGGAGAGGGAGAAGC